CTGGTTACTGTCTGAATGTTTCAGCTATTGAGCTTGGGAGCCCCAATATATGCTTCCTTCCTTCCTGTTTGGAAGAAGACAGGGGTTTTGACTTTGTTATTAAAAGAGGAGTCAGTGCTTTCTTTCCTTCCTGGGTGCTATAGGTAAGATTTCTAGTCCAGTCTGATTACCTCTCTGAACAGCTTTTCTTTAAAAAAAAATAGTCTCTGATCAGAAGAGGAGGATAGCTGGAAAATATTTTCCAAGCATTCCTAGCCTGTGGACAGATCATAGAAATAGAGAACCTTCTCCATTGCAATACTGAAAATAAAAATGAAATTGCAGTGTTGTTTTCAATCCTTTGGAGTTCTTGCCTCCAAATAGGCAGATGATGGAAGTCAATCAGAGCCCATGGATGGGCTTTTGGAAGTAAAATGGAAAATGATCTACAAAGAGGTACGGTCTCCTCTTATCACATTATTTAGCTCTGGGAAAAGCATAATGGGATTCCCTATGCCCTGCATAGAAATCAGGACCAGCCAAAACAACCGAGGCCTGGGCTGCTATGTCAACTCATACCACTCCAGGAATTTTCTTGCAGCTGTTTTTCTCCAACTCAGCTCCACATTCAGCAATCTTTGGTTCCTCTACCATCATTCTCTTGGTGGGGAAAAAGGAGATTTAGTTTATTTTTCCTGAGGCTTTGGGAAGTTGGGTGCTGTCATTTTTTTTCTGCTCTCTCTCCTGGAATCTCTTCTGCCAAGTTGCCTATTTGCTTTGGTAGTGACCAATTCATAACTGGCTTCCATTGTCTGGCTAGCTGACTGGGCTTTATCTCCTAGTGCTCACACTCCCCAAGATTTTGAGTGTCCTTTGCATCTGCTAAAAAGTCACCAAAGTTGATGTCACCAGAAGCCTAGCCTGCTGAGGAGCGTAGTTTTCAGCACTGCTGTATTGTGGAAAGGCTCAAAGCCCCTATGCTTTATTCTGCCCCATATGAAAGTCCAATTTGGATTCTACCCCCATCTCCTTGCATGCTTTCCTGTATTAAGATACTGCCTCCTGCAAAGACATTGATCAGTGGATAGTGTGGCTGACAGGAGGCCCTTTCCCGACAGAATGGGGAGTACCAGTTAATATCTTTCACTCAGAGTTCCAAAGATGGAGCAGACAAAAGCCATTTCTTTCTCTAGAAAGCAGAAGAGAAAAGGAGGGAATGTCCTTCTTGGACAGAAATAAAGCTTAAACCAGTGTTTCTCAACCTTGACAGTTTAAGGATGCGACTGGCTGGAGAATTCTGGGGATTGAAGTCCACGTATCTTCAAGCTGACAAGTTTGAGAAACACTGGCTTAAGCCTTACTTTCCAAGGAGAAGTTGCAAAGGGAGGGGGGTTTCCACCTTACCTATTTTCATTTTAAAATTCTTTCAGACTTTTGCACGTTATTGAACCAATCCTCGCCCCACACATGGTATTACGACTCCAGTCTCGGTTTGGATGCTAATCAGTTGAAGAAGAGACTGGATTCAAATTGTATAGGTTCTCCTGCCGGAGAGTGTGTGTGTGTGTCTGAGTGATTGGACTAGAATCGAATAGAATAAATTTATTGTCACTTTGAATGTAATTGGCCCACGTTAAAAATGAAATTTTGTTGCATACCGCTTTTAAAGGGTCACCACCTCCAGCATAAGCTACATCAAGGGTCTTCAAACTTGAATAGTTTGACTTGTGGACTTCAATTCCCAGAATTCCTCCTCCAGTCATGTTTGCTGAGGAATTCTGGGAGTTGAAGTCCCCAAGTCTTAAACTTGCCAAGTTTGAAGACTTGTCGACTTCAACTCCCAGAATTCCTGAGGTAACATGACTGGAGGAGGAATTCTGGGAGTTGAAGTCCACAACTCTTAAAGCTGTCAAGTTTGAAGCCCCCTGTGCTACATAAACATAAGATAACTAAAATAAATACAAAATTATGTATATACCCACATATATTATATATGACACAGAGAAACAACCCAGAAGAGCTCCAAGGTCCCTTCCAGCTCTATTTCGATTCTGACTTAGTTTGACTTTATTCAGACTGGAGTCACACATTTTGGGGCGAATGGTCCCCCCCCTCCCTCCAAATGATACTCCGGCTATTCCTCGATGGTTCCTCGCTACCCAGAGAGGAAAGGGGATTCCACAAACCATAAGACAGCGCCTCAACACACACACACACACACACACCGCCCTGAAAAAGCCACCTCCTTCCACTGCGACCCGCGGCGCTTGCAAGGCCGCTCGTGCGAACCCTTCGACGCTGGTCTGCTGCTCCGTGTAAGGGAGGGAAAACCCCTCGCGGAGAGAGACCCCCGAAAGGGCGGCGAATGGGGCTCCTTCACTCACCCTCTCATGGTGAACTTGGCCACCGCCAGCCGGCAGCCGGCGGCGCTCAGTTCGCTCTGGAAGTCGGCGTCGTTAGCGATCACCTTCACCCCGACCATCCCGGCAGCGACGGTCACGGGCGGCGGCGGGAGGGAGGCTAAACGGCAGGAAAAGCGCCGGCAATTCGTCGCCCGGTATCTGCACAGTCACGGCGGGAAGGAGGAGGAAGACGCACGCCCAGCATGCACCACAGCATCTTTTTGCGCAGGCGCGCGCAGCTCGGCCCCTTTCCCCGCTCCTTCCTTCATTAACCTTTCCCCGAGCGAGTCATTCAGGCTCAAGGGATAGAGTGGTGAAGAGGGGGGGGGGGGGGGGGAAAGGGGGGGGGGGGCCGCCTCCGGGAAGGGGAGAGGAAAAAAAAAAAAAAGAACAGAGGCGATTGGGCGCAGAACGGCGCCGGTCTAAGCGTGGTGCCTCTCTATGGTGAGCTGCTTGTAAGAAGTTGGGGGGCGGGGAGGAAGATGGAGAGCGGAAGGCCTCCTTGTTTTCAGGCGGAAGTCGACTTCATCAAGGGCTGAGGCCTTTTAGGTTCTGGAAAGGAGCAAGGTTGCCATCTTGGTTGAAGGCATGCGATTTATGAATTAGAACAAGGGTCTTCAAACTTGGTTAAATTTAAGACTCGTGGACTACAACTCCCAGAATTCCTGAGGTAACATGACTGGAGGAGGAATTCTGGGAGTTGAAGTCCACAACTCTTAAAGCTGTCAAGTTTGAAGACCCCTGAATTAGAAATACAGGTCTTTTGGTGAGATTCTGTAGTGTATGTATGTATGTATGTATAATAATGTATGTATATATGTGTGTGTGTGTATGTATGTGTGTATATATATGTATACACACACACACACACACACATACATACATCCAGAGAGGGGGGGGGGCTTAAACCTTTGTGGTATGCTAATTTGCTTTTATTAGGATCCTTTTACATCTGGGAACATTTGCCAGAGAAAATTAAATAGCATCAGTAAAGGTGGTGCTTTTACTACTGTATATGTTGTTTTACGCAATTCATTACTTAATACTGTGATTAGCTCTTGGGGCATATCAAAATTCAAACTGTAAACTACAGAACAATGACAGAAATGCCATAATAATTATGGCATTCATTACTTGAATCTCAGCTTCAGTGAAACAGTGGAAATTTAATTCAATGTGTATGGCTGTCCGGCTTGAAACCATGACTTTGAGCAGATAGCAACAGTTAAAACATTTACAGCATAATCAGTGCAGCCAAGCTAACATCTTTATCTTTATCTCACAGGTTCTTTTTTCAAGAGACAACTGGACTTTCTGGTTTTTCTTTGGAAATGTTTTGCTTCTCATCCAAGAAGCTCCTTCAGCTGTCTGGAAGGAGTCCTTCCATTCCCCACCATCCAATCAGAGCTGAAGAAGCTTCTTGGATGAGAAGTGAAACGTCTTCAAAGAAAAAAACCAGAAAAGTCCAGTTGCCTCTTGAAAAAAACATCTTTGGGACAACCATGACCTGGATGCCTGAGAATCTCCATAGACACCTATTTTTGTCTCCATCTTTACAATTTATATTGTTTTATTTGCTTCCCAGTATTCTTGATGAATGCATTTTATTTTTTCTTATGTACACTGAGAGCATATGCACCAAAGACAAATTCCTTGTGTGTCCAATCGCACTTGGATATAAAGAATTCTATTCTATTCTATTCTATTCTATTCTATTCTATTCTATTCTATTCTGTTCTATTCTGTTCCTGTTCTGCCCTATCCTATCCTATCCTATCCTATCTTTTGCACCGGTTTGTGGAATCTGAGAATCGGCTTGATATCAGCAAGCATTAAATTGCTGGAACCCAAATTATCCTCCCAGGAATCCCTCCCAGACATGCTCCCTTACATGTCTCATCTCCTGCCCCATGAACATTTCACTCTAGCACTGATGATGCTACCTAGTTGGGTACAACAAAGACTATTACAAAGTCTGCACTACTACTACTGTTAATCTTCTCATTACTCCTTATCACCCATCCCCTCCCACAAAGTTACTGTATGACTGTAACTTTGTTGCTTGTATACTTACGATTTATATTGACTGTTTCATAGTATGATTTGATTGCTTATTGTACCCTATGACCATCATTAAGTGTAGTACCTGATGATTCTCGACTATTGGCGAATGTATCTTTTCTTTTATGTATACTGAGAGTATTTACACCAAGACAAATTCCTTGTGTGTCCAATCACCCTTGGCCAATAGAAGAATTCTATTCTATTCTATTCTATTCTATTCTATTCTATTCTATTCTATTGAAACGTCTGCAAAAACAAAAAACAAAAAAAACCAAGCAAGCTCAGAAAGCACCAAGGATCTCCCCCCCTCCCCATGTTAACCCTGAGCTACAAATAATCTCCTTTATCGATATATTTCACTCTGCTTCCTCACTCAACCCGCGCTCGCTTTCCCCTCTCCCCACCCTACGGAAGGCGAGGCATCGATGCGACGATGCATCATCACGGACCCCCCCACCCCCCTCTTTCCATCACGCCTCCCCGTCTCCATGGCTACCAGCCTCTCGCGGGCCAGAAGGCGGCTGCCGCCAAGCACACCGCGCGGGGTGCCTTTTGCGACACTTGCGGCAGCCGTGGCGGCAGCGGCCAGTCCCGTCAGCTGATTTCCAGCGGCGGCTGCGTTGAGCCCCGGCGGAGGGGCGAGCAGGAAGCGGAGCCGGCGAGGGCGGTCGCGGAGGCTCAAGGCGACCTTCTTGCAGCAGGGGGAGACGCGGGAGGCTGCTCCCCGCAGACGAAGCAGGTAGTAGTCCGTGTGGTGTGTGTGTGTGTGTGAAGCAGCCCGACTCCCGTTTAAGGCTGCGTTAAGGTTGCCATTTGGGAAGAAGATAACCGTCTGCAGCCTCCAGGCTCCCTCTGTAACTTATGGTTTGCTTCTCGTTTCCATTGCTGACAGCAGGATCCCGGGGCTTCCTCCGCCGCCCTTTTTCTCCTACACCCCCTCGTTTGATTCCCCCCCCCCCATTTCAGAAGCGGGAATTTGTGGGTGTCTGTGTGTCTTTACAACCTGGAAGGCTTTATAAGCACCCCTTCAACACCACCACTACCCCTTATCCCCTTCTATCTCCTCTCTCAAGTGTCGTTTTGATGCTGTGTTGTTTTTTTAACAAAATAGGATTGTTTTCAGGGTGAGTTCATGCCAGTTGCTTATCTGGGAAGCAAGATGTCATTTTCTGGAGAAATCCACTCATTTGGCCTCCCACCACTCCGGGTGCTACGAGACAGCCCTCTCTCTCTCTCTCTCTCTCTGGATCTCTTCAAGCAGGTTTCCTACCGCCCCCCTTGGGATCGATCGATGGATCGATTATGTGCCATCAAGTCAGTTTCACCTCCCACCGACCACAGAGATGCATTTCCTCCATGAGGATTTTGTCCCCCCACCCCCCCAAGCTGATCTTCCAGCATTGCACCCATTAACTGCCATAATTCGGTTCCTTAGCTCTGCTGCTTCTCTTTCCTTTCACTTTTCCCCAGCATAAGATCCTTTTCCAGAGAACTGGGTCTTTGCATAAAGTGTCTGGGATGGGATAATGTGATCTTGCTAATTTGTGCCATGAATGAGAACTTTGGGTGGTTTCTGACTACCCTTGAGATAAGAGAGGAGAAGAGGATTATATATAAGAAAAAATATTTATATTTATTAACGCGCACACACATATAATATAGATATAGAGATAGATAGATAGATAGATAGATAGATAGATAGTTAGATAGATAGATAGATAGATAGATAGATAGATAGATAGATAGATAGTTGTTGTTAGTTGCGAAGTCGTGTCCGACCCATTGTGACCCCATGGACAACGTTCCTCCAGGCCTCCTTGTCAGTGGTGGGATTCAAATATTTTTACCACCGGTTCGGTGGGCGTGGCTTGGTGGGCACGCTTTGTGTGCATGCACACACTTTGTGTGTGCGCATGCGCCAAATGCACACTTTGCGCAGGCACAGAGGCGTTTGCGCAGGCGCAGAGACGTTCTAACTCACCTCCTGCAAGCCTGCACGATCCGGTCGCTTCAGCAGCTGCCGCGTGGCACTCTTCTGTGCCGTGCAAAGCAGCTGCGCTTCAAATTCAGCAGATAAAAGTGAGTATGGGAGCCTGGGCAGGCGAGTGGATCCAACAGCAGGGCAGCGGAGAGAACTGGTTCGGTCTCCGCTGCTCATTGCTTGGCAGAACCGGGCTCGGCAGAACCGGGCTGAACTGGTAGAATACCACCACTGCTTCCTGTCCTCTACCATCCCCTGGAGTCCATTTAAGCTCACGCCTGCTGCTTCAGTGATTCCATCCAGCCACCTCATTCTCTGTTGTCCCCTTCTTCTATTGCCATCAATGGTTCCCAACATTAGGCTCTTTTCCAGTGAGTCCTTCCTTCCCATTAGGTGGCCAAAGTATTTGAGTTTCATCTTCAGGATCTGAACCCTTCTAAAGAGCAGTCAGGGTTGTTCTCTAAGATTGACCAGTTTGATTGCCTTGCAGTCCAAGGGACTTGCAGGAATCTTCTCCAGCACCCTTTTTAATATATCTCTATATCTGTCTGTCTGTCTGTCTATCTATCTATTTATTTGTCTGTCTATCGCTCTGCCCTGCCCTGCCCTGCCCTGCTCTTGATGGGACACCATTACTTCCCAATTTGTACCAAGTCTTCCTCTCCGTCCCTCTGATATTCTTCACCCTGTTTGAATGTCATCCTTTTCAGTAACCAGATCTATTCATTTCTGCCTGTGTCATATGCAACCTTGTTTTCCTGGCAAGAGATCCCCCTTTTGTCCACTTACCATTAACTCATACTTATTTTGGCAGGTTTTCCTCAGCCCCAAAATGAGAATCCGTTTTTCCATTGTATTTTAGTAAGATGATCTATTTTCACATCCATGAAACGGAAATGTGCACATGGATCCGTGCGCATATTATAGTTCTCTTAAAACTCCTCACCCAGATCCAGAGATGAGCTTGGGGAACCATGAGAATTCTAGGAAAACATAAAATTCTTCCTTTTTGTTTTTATTTTTAAATAGTTACTTACTGCTTTGTATTGATTGCTTCAGATGGAAGGAAGCACTCCGGTGATCCCAGCGATGCATTTGCTGTTAGTGCACCGATGAATATCTAGCATCATGTTGTTGTTGTAGTAAAACCATTGCTTTGAGGATGGAGGCGTTATCCATGTCAGAGGTTGTAGTTTTGCTGATTTCAATGGCAGATTCCTTATTGGAACCATATAACAAAAGATACCTTCTTCTACTTCCATTTGATGCGAGAGGGAACTATCTCTTTTCTGCACATACTGTATTTGGATGGCTGATAATTCTTTTTGGCCTGTACTATACTTGACTTTCCTTAGGGTACAGTACAGGGTTACACTGATACATAGAAACTATTATTCTCTTTTCCTTTCCAGCTTTTATTTCCTGCATAACATTAGTCTCATTAGACTAATTTTGTTATGTGTACTTCACACATGAACCATTCTGAAGAACTAGAGCAGTATTGGCTAACCTTTTGGGGCTCCTATGCCAAAAATTGTGCGCGCGTTAGTGTGCGCGCACTCGTGTGCCAGCACCCAGAATGCAATGCACACCCCCCACACACACCCCCTGCGCATGCCCCTGCCACCCCCTTATCTGCACTGTGCCTCACAGCTGATTTTTGGGCTGGTTTGAGGCCTTTTTCGGCCTCCCAGAGGCTTGGAAAAAACCTCTGCAAGGCTTTTCAGGCCAAATAATATGCCCATTTCGTCACTTCCGGCATTACAGGAAGTGATGTAACAGGCCTATTCATCCTGAAAAGCCATGCAGAGGCTTTTTCCAAGCCTCTGGGAGGCCGGAAAAGGCCTGAAACCAGCAGAAAAATCAGCTGTGAGGCGCGCACATGTGCAGTGAGGTAAGTTTGCCTGCAGCTCGCATGCCGGCACAAATGGCTCTGCATGCCACTTGTGGCACACGTGCCATAGGTTCGCCATCACGGCTCTAGAGTGTTCTGTCCCAAAGGTGCTTTCTTCAAAGGACACCTAGACTTTTCTTTGTATTCCCCCCCTCTTTTTTTTCCTTCTCATCCAAGAAGCTTCTTCAATTCTGAATGGTGGGGGGGGAGTTGGGGAAATGAAAGGATTTATATTCCTTGCCGTCATTGGTAGTTAGCACTCTCTGAGAGTCATTGAGGCCACGTTGGGGGTTATTTATGCTAAGGATCAGATGACTGCAAGGAATATAAATCCTTCCATTGCTTCCACTGCCATTCAGAATCAAAGAAGCTTCTTGGATGAGAAGCGAAATGCCTTTAAGGAAAAACAAAGAAAAGTCCAGTTGCCTTTTTAAAAAAAAAACACCATTGGGAGAACCATGACCTGCATGACTGAGAATCTTCATAGACATCTAGAGCAATGGTTCTCAACCTGTGGTCCCTAGACCCCTGGTGGGAGGGGCTGCAATGTCATCGCAGGAGGTCCATGAAGGCTTGAAGAAATGTTATGATTTAAATCTTGAGTTAAGTCTTGGGGGTCTGTGGCCATCGTCCGTGGCCACAAAAGTTATTTAAAGGGGGTCCATGGTGAAGTAAAAGTTGAGAACCACCGATCTAGAACAGTCTGTTTCCTTCCATGTCATGCTGTTGGGAGATTGTGGGGGACTAGTTGGCCTTATTTTGTTTGGATCATTATGCCTGGAACTGATTGAATTGCTTGTGATTTGGGGTTCCACCTGTGGAAACTGTTAGGCATTAGCATGCTCCAAAGGAAAATTAGGTTGGTTTAGAAATGGTGTTAAAAAGCTCTACTGGAGTTTATGGTTTGTTTTCACTAAGATTGGTTCAGGAAACCATAATAGCGTGGATCATTATCATAAATCATGTTTTACAAGCAATAATTGAAATCATATAGTGTTATCAGTTAAAACCAAATAAATCCAATTATGCACTAGTTTGCTCTAGTTGCTGATTGCTTCTTTTTCCCCCCCTCATCCCTCTTTCAGATTATCTTCTTAGCACACGTTCTTTTCCAATGGCCACTCTTTTGGGAAATAAGAACTGTTTAATGTCTGTGGAGATTCTCAGTCATCCAGGTCATGGTTGTCCCAGAAGTGATTCTTCAAAAGGCAACTGGACTTTGTTTTTCACAAAACAAAAGTCCAGTTTTTGAAAACAAAGTCCAGTTGCCTTTTGAAAAAGCATCTTTGGGACAATAATTTCTTAATAATATTGAAATCATGATCGGTAAATCAAAGTGCTGAGCCTTTTTGGTATAGCAACTATACTTTCCAGTCAAAATCTCAAGCTTTTGAGATCATACCTTAAATGAATTTCATTTCTAATTATGATTACTATATTGGTTTATTGCCAAATAATTGCAAACAGAATTGCTGTGTTGAAGCAGAATTAAATTGAAGGGTTGCAAAGTTTTCCACAATACTCTTTTTTTCTGTCATGCTGATTAATATCCAATGTGAAGTTAATGTAATTACTTAGGGTGATTTTTTTTTAATGTCTAGAGTTCTGGAATGTAAATATGGCTCAACAGCACATACTTCCAATAAGTGAACATGCAAATGAGTGAATTTATTTTAAGCATCATCGGTTTAAGGAACATAACCTTAACTGAAGAACTGAGAGGTAATTTATATCTGGAGGAATTGTATTTTCTATCATCATATAATTTTCCAAATATAAGATTTGACTTGGGCACAGTACTGTCACCGTAAATATTTGTAGAATGTTGGAGTGCCTTTAACCGTTCTGTTTATTATGGATGGTT